ATACATACATACATACACGCAGACACACATATATTCTCTGTTACTGCTTTCCTCCTTTTTAACATAGCTCTGACTTTCAGTCATCCCTGGCTCCTACTCCACAAAGTCTTGGGGGGCAAAGGAGTAAGATTTGCCCAGTAGTAACACTAATGATAAGAATAACAAATGCATATTGTGTGCCAGATTCTGAAATTAAGTGTTTTCCATGCATTCAGTTTTTAGACGCCCAGACAGCACTACAAGGTTAAGACAGTCTCCAACTTACCATACTTTTTCTTAACTACACTTAGGATACTGCAAAAGAAATACTCACTGAATAGAAATTATATTTTGAATTTTGTGTCTGTTCTCTGGCTAGGCATGTGTTAGGTTATTCTTTTACAATCCTGGGTAATGGCTGCTCAACACAGCTCCCAGCTAATCACGTGACCCTAAATTGAAATTACCAATACAGTACTGTGCAGAGTTAGCTGGTAAGTTTGTTGTACTAAGTGTTTTTCTTTTCCTTTAAACCTCTTCCTTTAAACCTTTTCAATTTAAACCAACTGATGACAATGTATTACACAATTATTGCACATAATAATTTTGCATGTCAAATGTCACAACAAATGTATAACTCCATACTTAATGTGAGTATATTGTATAAGTTACTGAAAACTAAGCACCATTTACAACTGACACTCAAAATCCAATGAGGATTAAAATAATTAAATTTAAAAAATGAATCTATGGCTAGCACAATTTCCTGTGTGCACTAGGTTTTTATAGCAAGGATACTGTTTTATCAAGCACTTTCAAATCACATCAAATTCATGTTAAGCAAACATATATTTGGCATCTACTATGGGAAAATTATTACAGAAAATAGGGGTTGCAATCATCGAACTACAGGGCCAGGTTGATATATGCATGAACAAATTAGACTGCTTGCTCAAATCTTAGTTACCAGATCAAGAAAGATAACTATTTCACTCTATTTCTTTAATTTCCAAAATCAAAGGTGACCAAAGTTTGCCAATTAAAATGTAAAATGGAATATGGAAACTATAGGGAAGCAAGTAATCTATATTACTTCTTGCCTTTTGCTCTGAAATGTTTTCAGCCTGCTATTTATAGAAAGAAAGAAGATTTTTATGGAAAAATTCCAATTCTTATTTGCTGGCACAATTTATTTTAGTAGTATGGGTATCTATAATAAGATGAGAACAAAAAAATAATAAAAGCACTTCAACATGTAGGGTGCTAGAGGTAGCCTCTAAAATAAAGGATGCAAATTGTTAATGCTGAAAGTTAGGAATTTGCAGTTGTTATTTTTATTTGTGTGTTTAATTATTAAAATAATCCACTGAAAAATTATCTATGGCTTACAAATGAGAAAAAATAAATTATAAGAATTTAAAATTTAGTGACACACTGAAGTTTCTAGTTAAAATCAAATTCTAATTTTCTAACCTAAAATGACTTTGAAATACATTTCAAAATTTAATACACAATTTCAAATAATCTCTCTTATAGCCATATTTTATATCAATTTGTTAAATCACATCA